GAAAGAAAAAAGTAGGAAAGTTCTGTGCGAAGATTAGAAATCTCTGCCTCATCGGCAGAAGCATTATTAAATTCGAGATTGGCATCTGGTAACTATGAATTTTAAGAGAACGTAAAAAATCGAAATAAAATTCATAAAAAGGCCAAAATAAATTTTACCAAGGGTTGGTTCAATGAAGAGAAAGACTGATTTATAGAATTATTTGCAGCATTATTAGAAGAATGTGCATTATGAATTGGTTTAATGCGTCTTGGCATATCACTGATGTTTCAATATCGTATCTAATAAAAAATTCAAGAAAAAAACGTAAAACAAACATTAACACGAAATATGCTTTGCACTTAAAACTTACTATCAGATCAAGGCCCGATTCTCATCTACTTTCCTCGTTGTAAGTCGCGCTTTATCAGAAATTACCTTTGGGTCAATTAAAACTCAAAATATCTAAATAGTAAATATAAATATAAATTTATTTTCATATTTAATTAAATTAAGGTTTTAAGACTGATCGTGCGATAATATTAAGCATTAATTTATACTTGAACACTCTTTTAACCATCTAATATTGGGGCGGTAATTGGATTTTTTGGGCTGATTCTTTGGTGGCATTCTTATTGAGCTCCCGATTTTCATGCTTTTTGCATTTACTTTGACATTTTTTGCCAAGATTTCAAGTAAATAAGCAAATGGGTGAGTATGATCGATTAAAAGTTATTGTGGCTGGGGATACTGGCGTTGGTAAGACTGCACTCGTCCATCTGTTGTGTTATGGTGAGCCTTTACTTAATCCCTCGTGGACCATCGGATGTAATTTAGAATTATGTGTGAGTTTTCGAAAGTTAACCTGATATTGATAGGTATCCGAATGCCTTTTACTTATTAAAATTCTCTTCTCTGATAATTAATCAATATCTAAATGTGTTTTTTAAGCTTTTTCCGAGATCTGCCAGTCAGTCCAAAGGAACAGATGAGGAACGACATTTTGTTGAATATTGGGATATCGGTGGTTCTGCTAATCATGAAAATACTCAGCAAGTTTTCTATGACAACGTCCATGGTATCATTCTTGTTCATGATCTCACCAACAAAAAATCAGAGGCAAATCTTTCTAAATGGCTTGCAGCAATCACTGCGAAAGGGAAGTTGTAAGTACATAATTTCTGCCGACTCTTATTTTTCTGTATATCATGTCTATTTGATTTTTTCTAAACTGGGATATGTGGCCGCACCTCGCTTAAATTTTCCAAAATTTGCTTTAGTTATTATAACTCGCTATTTAATTTTAGTGATTCTTCCAACGTCCAACCTTGTTTGTGTATCATGTACTTTTAAGAAAGCTTTTGTTTTGTTTTTTCATCCATTTTAATTTTTTTAGAATTGTTAATTAAAACGAAGCTGTCAATAGATTGACCTCATTCTGCTTTCGCTACTTAACTATTATCATTAGTGCTGCCTGCATATGTTTCCTACGTGATGTATTCCTTTTAATTGCTTTTTGAGTTACCGCTTAATTCAAACTGATGAAAATTATTAGAAATTGTAGGTCATTCTTATGTTGCGATATAACTGCGGCGTCCAACTTTTACCCGCATTGGATAATTGCTCATTACCAGTTGGATTTAGGGTCTTTTTATTTATCTCATTTATATCCAGGTAAGTGGGGCATTTAATTGCTCAATCAAGTTTTCTTATCAACGATTTCTGATAGAAATAGTCTTCTATCAATCTGTTTTCAACTTGACGGGGGTCTTCCATATTCCTTACTCTGACTCACCGCCCAATATTTAAGGTTTGTCGCTACGGGCAGGACGTCGCTTAGCGCTAACACTTTGTTTTCCTCCTTTCTAATTTCCAGTAATAATCGAGGCTAGTGTAAAGTTGGTTTTGCTAATCTTGTCCGATTGCGATTATTTTCTGAAATTGATGTTTGTGCGGACGGAATTTGTATAAACGAAGGTTTTTTTCATGGTAGTGCCCAATTTTATTCATTGTTCATTTTTCTTATTATAACTGTTCTTTTTAACTTTCCAACGTTATAGATGTGTTAATGGATGCAGAAAAACTCCCATTTCAAATTCTAAAAGGTACTTTAACTTGCTTTCTATTTGTTCAGTTGGTGCATTTATCTGCTCTTATTGCTAAGACGTAGTGCGGATCGCGTAGTAGTCGAGTCACTCAAACGGCCGAAGTTTATGATATGGCCGTGAAGTCATCTCAGTTTATTGATCAAAACACACACTTGCGCTTCCTCGCCTTTGTTATTTACTTACTACTTTCTCACACGCTTTCCTCTCCGTTATCTCCTAATCTCTCGCGGTTCAATCATTTTATGCAATACCTTTTGCCACCTTTTCTTACTGTCAGCTGTTAGTTCCTTTTACTCCAGCACTATTGTCAAAATAAAATTCAACAAACTAATAAGCAAATCGGTAAGAATATGAACATAAATACAATAAGTGAAACGTAGAAAATATGGCTCGCCATCATTGATTCGATTCGAGTCTGCCCTCGTTTCATTGACAACCCAGTCTCTGTACTTGGGACTATAGTTGCCTCCACAAGTTTCTAAAGGAGAAATCTCAAGGTCATGGATCTTTCTTTATTTCCTTCTCTAACACATTAATAATGCCAATGTAGACACAAAATGACCTAATGCTTCTTCAGAAAGGCTTTTTGCGATGTTTTCAACTCACTTTTACCATTTGCTTTCTTGGCGCTTAGGGTTCCAAAAAAATATTTGAGCTCTATGAGCCTTTTACGCCTTGAGATTGAAGCTCCCTAAAAGGGCTCTGGTGCCCATTACATAAACTGACTATCTAACGTGAAATGGACTTGTTTAAGCAAATGATCTTTCTGTGAGATTTTCGCTTCTTAGCCAATCGTCTATTTCTATATCAAGTTGGCTTAAATTGAGGTATTATCTTTGCCGTTTAATTGTTACCTGTTCTGTTTTGATTGAAAATTCAAAGCATTCGACTTCTTTCAGTTCATGTTTTTTGTCTCTATCCTTCTCACACATATGTATCCCAAGTTGCAATATTTGCCTCCTTTTAGGCTTGAGGTTGTGTGTCAGACCACACCAAATGATCGTTCAGGTTCCATATTAGTTTCACCTACTTCTCCTCCAAATTCAATCACTTCTCCACCTGTTCCTTTACCGTCTGTCCAGCAAGCCTCAACAGTTAATACACCACCGGTACTTGTGGTGGGAACCAATTTGGATCAAGTGCAGGGTCTCAATCGTACCCCCTCAGCATCATTTCTTCCATCTTGGAATGAGAGTTGCTATCGGCCGGGGTTCTCTACCAGTTTTGGCAGTTTTGCCGCTTCGCATGGGTATCCTCAAATTACTGTTGTAAGTTGAAATCCGTTGCTGAACCTATGTAAAGTGTCCAAGTTATTTCTTAACTACTGAGATATTTGGGCCAAATTTAAGAAACCGAAGACTATTTTAGCCAATTTGGTGGTTAAATATCAGTAGTAATTACCCTATTGTCTATTTTATCTATCGAGTGAATCCTGTTCTTTTCTTCCTGAAAACATTCTGTCACCTCAGTCTTCCTCTCCACTCGAATGGGCCATTGTTTATCAATATTGTTGTCTGTGAGATTGGCATGTGCTCGTTAGTCTATTTATTACGGTTGAACACGATCACTCTAGTACTAAAATGTTTACTTATGTTTTATATTTGTGAGAATAACTTATCTAGTTAGCCATCTAGTTAGTTAGTTCGTTGGCTTCCCTATTTACCTCAAAGAAATTTATTACTATAATTTATTCATGGTATAAATTTTTTATTTCTTGCTAATTTGCTCAAAATTTAAAGTTGATATAAATTGAAAAATGGGCGTAATGCTAATGATATCTGGCGTTTAGATCATCTTGTCCTGTTCCTTTCAGAATTGTAATTCTTCAAGCAGTTTTACTGAAAATTCCTACAACGGTAGTGCTTTATCAGCATTTCTCCGACAAGTACGTTTTGCCCTTTTAAATATTTAAAATTAATTCGATTTCGGTGTGCGTGCTAGCTTTCGTCTTTTTTCTTTGTAGGTCATTCGATTCAAGAGGAACAATAAAGGTGTTGGTATAAGGCGCGATCCATCGGATGATTATGATTCCACTGTCACTCAACTCATATCGCTATCTAACCAAAACATATTGTCAATGGGAAATCAAGGAAATCTCCCTTATGGCCGAAATTTCGGTGGAGCCGTCAGTTATAGGATGCCTAATTATTAAAATCTGTTTTTACCTGCCGTGCTCTCGCGATTCTTATTTCTGTGATATTTAACTGCTCAATTTAAATTTTTACTTTTGATAAAATCTTTTATATTCCTCTGGAAGAAAGTCATGACGAGAGGAAGCTTCTCGCTAATATAGCATTGAAGATTGTTCTGATTTTGTCGGAAAAGAGAATTCCATTTGTTGAAAACAATCACCTGATAAGCGGCCTAACAGAGTCGAATCCATTGAAATAAATGCATTTTTAATTGGCAATTGATTCTAATGTGGGGTGCGCGATAGACTTACCTCCACTTGGTGCGCCCTGGACAACGTATCTTCGTACGGCAAAAAATCTATCACTCGGCAATTTATTTGATTTGTGGGCTAATGATAAATATTACAAAGCCTGCCATTTGAAATAAATAAGTTGATTTTGATGTTTATTATTTGGAAATAAAATATTTGTTTTAAAGACTTTAAGTTAGAACGGCAATTTGATTTCGTGTTTTATCGGTTACCATGTACAGGCATTTTATTCAATTTTTTACTATTGGATTGATCTTTCGTTATATTTGTGTGAATTTTGCACCACAACCGTTACTTCAAAGTATCGGACATACTGTCAATGAAGATTGGTCACGAAGTAATTTTGGATATTTATCTATTATATATTTATTAGTCAAGGAAGAAGTGTCAATATTTCGAAACCCGGATATCATAAATGCCGCTCCTGCTATTACACAAGTATACTATTAAACTTCGAATATAATTGAATTTAGCCTCCTTTGTATCTTGCTTTTTGGAAGTTATTGGATTTTTCTCAATATGAACGAATTGTTCTTCCAGTAAAGTTATTCGTTTTTATTTAATTTTTACAGGCATTTGACTGTCTTGCATTTTTAGCATTCCTATCCTTCGATTCGTTGCCTGTGGAAAAACATGCTGTCTCTCCATATCCCTTATCAGTTCTCGTGTAAGTCTTAGTTTATTCATTTTCTATTCTTTTTAGCTTCGCCTTCAACCCATTCTCCATTTTCGCATTTGGATGTCATTCCATTGGAATTATTCCAGTCTTGTTGACTGTTTATGTATTTGTCTCTATCGCCAAGGGTATGCTTTAGTTTGTTATAATCTAACACCTTATGTTAGATCGCACATGGCTGGCTAGTATTTTGTGTGCTCTCAGTTGCTATCTAAATATATATTCCGGGTACCTTATACTTGCTGTATTGGCTCAATGCCGAAAAGTTTGTGATTTCATCTTGGTGTGGTAATATTCCTTTTTTAGTGCAAACTACGTTTATTAATCTCAACATGTATCTTCATATCTACCATTGCTGGATTGCTGTATGCAACCTATGCTTTTGACCACAGTTGGGGCTTTCTGAAATACTGTTATCTATCTAAGTAGGTCCTTCTGTTTAGTTCTCAAAACCATTTTGAAATTTCTTTCAGTATCTTCGCTCTAAATACTACTCCAAATTTGGGTCTGTTTTGGTACATGTATTTGGAGATGTTTACACACTTCAACGTTTTCTTTGTGTGGACAATGCAACTTATTATTGCAACACTTTGTGTTGGTCTGCTGCTTCGGTTCTAGTATGTTTAACTTGTTCAATTATTTTATGCTTGAGTCGCCGATTTGAAAATTTGATTTGTGCCTTCCTATACTTTGAAATAAGTTACTTATGTTCTTACGCTTTGCTTCATCTTTTTGCGTGCTTTTCTAAAGTAAGAATTCCTATTTGAACGTTTCGATATTTGCTTTCCTATTACTCTAGAGATTTCGATTAATGGTATTTACCTGGCACATAAAGTCGTTTTTACATTACTTATTTTGTTATCCGATCTTATATAAAGGGTTTTCGAGCTTGTTAGGTTCCTAGATCAATACAAATTGCTGAAGTAAATTTCCCTGAATTTTCTACTGTTTCTTAGGTCTTTTTCATCTTGACGTAATATCCCTTTTTTCCAGCTTTAGATTTGTCCGCAGAATTAGTTACATTTAGATTTTATGCGAATATACGATACTTCCTCCTGAATGGGATATTGAAATGTAATCTACGTAATACAGTGTTTATTTTTATAATTTTTTTTTTGTTTTTTATATGGTCGTAATTTACGCTTTCTAGCTCTAGACAATTTGTTAGCATTACCTAAGCTCTATGGGCGTAAATTTAATTTCTTTACATGGTATTTATCAATTGACGTTCTTACTTAATAAAGATTTAATCTTGTCTGTAATCTTCCTACCACTGTCCATTTGGATTTATTCTTTTTTACTTCTCTAAGTGAGGATCCTTTGTTTCTGGCTCTCGTTATCGCCATGACAACTGGAGCACTGAGGCCCTACAACAGCATTTCCGATTTCGGTTGCACTTTGGCCCTTCTCACCCACTGGCGTCATATCTTCCCATGTAAGTTATATCCCTTGTATTTTCCCATCCGTAATATAACGCTTCTTGTGAATTTAAACTTTTCCAATGTTACAATTTCAATCAGCTCATTTGTGCAGGTGTCGTCTGAAGTACTAAGTCTTCAGCTCTATTCATTTTCGAATGCTTGAGTTACATTATGGCGACCCTGTTCTTTGTCTTCTCTTATTTTCTTTGCGTATGGGACTTTTCTAATTATTATTCTGCTTACGACAGGCCATATTTTTGTATCCACTGTTGATTTCTTAGAATTTGTCTTAATCCTTATTTTTTGCGTTCGGTCATTCACGATCTACCGTATCTTTCCCTTTTTGGCTTGATCAATTTTGTGCAAGTTTAGTAAATAATGTAGGTAATTCAATAAGACGTTGTCCTTTCTAAGTCTCTACAAACACTGTCCCAATTCTTCATTAGCTAGGCATTTTACTGGGGAAGAAAACAGAGGTGTCAGTTATTCTTTTCGGAGCAGAACGGATTATACATCAATATGGCAGTGCAAAATAACAAAAGGAAAATGATAAATAGGATGAAAGAATAGTAATAAGCCGTATGCAAAATCAAATAGAGCTCAATTTTCCTCCAAGCAGGTTATTACAGAGTCCTCAAAACAGAGCCAAGATATCAACCTCGTCGGTCAGTTGGGAATCACTGGTCAACACATAGACATTGATCCAATGAGAAGCCAAGACTCTTCTCTTTGTTGTTTGAGATGGAAGCAGTCATTGTGGCAAGGTGGTTTCTTCCTCTTGCTACCGTAATCTTTCATGTCTTTGTTTCACCTTTTTTCCATCTCATGAGACTTTTACGTCCTTTCATTCTAGTTTGCCTTGTTCATAAGTTGTTACATGGCCTATGCCTTTCATACCACGCTCCATACACTGTTGTAGGCTAGGGCCTAATTAAAAGGTAAGCAAATTAGGTGCCAGTCAAATTTAGATAATGGCAAGACCACTACACAATTAGTATAAAAAATGCTTAAGTTCATACTCCTCTCCGTTAGCTATTCGCTTGCAAGTCCCAAAAGCTTAGAATCGACTTTGATAATTGTGACACCTTCTAGAGTCATCTATTTTAAACCGAGTTTTTTGTATATTTGAGTAAATTATTTAACTACTTTCATCGAAAATTTTCAGACTTGCATAATAAATCGATACTTGTTATTTGCTATTTATAGAAATTCTTCAGATTAGACTTTTCGGAATTGATTAATATCCCTTTTGTATTGCTACAATTTTCTTTAGATTTTAAGAACGGCTTCATTCTCTCCCTGATGATGACCGTGGCTCTGATACTGGCTCCACTTTTCTTTTTAACTTGGCTTCACACGAGCACCTCCAATGCCAATTTCTACTTCTCTGCTTCCCTCATTGTTGGCATTGTTCGGGTAAGAAACTATTTTCACTCTCTTTCGGTGCACGATTAGCGCTTCCTACTGCTCTCTAAGTTATTTTTCCAACGCCTAAGGCGGCATTGCAAAGTCGGTTAATAACCACCTTATTTACCCCCGAATTATTGGTCGAAATAAGGGCAGAATATTCTATTAAATAGACATATTTGCAGGGCTAATTTTTAAATGGTATAAGCCACTAAGCACGTTGCTATGGTTGAATTGGAAGGGGGCTAAGCTAGCGACTCCTATAACTAGCAAGTGGACTAACCTAACATCGATATGAAATTTCAGTGTGAAATAGGTTTAACCTCACGGTCCTGTTCCGTCGGAGAATTTAAATGGCAATTTTTTTGGCAAAATGGTTACTTTAGACCACTTGGTCTATCTTCCATACTCTTGCAGACCTTATTTAGAACACAAAGATTATTTGAGAAAGTATTATGGGGTTTCTTTAAATATTCTTTAATAAATGTTCTGTATATTCTATATTGTAATCGAGCCATAATGAGTGGATGAATTAGATGATTAACATTCCATTTCCATACTTTACAGGTTCAATTATTAGCGCAGGCAATTTCGAGTTACTTGCGGTATGAATTCCACGAAAAATTCGGCCCTAATCCTCGTCTTTCTACTGGTGCCAAGATTGTTCCATGCATTCGTTCTTAATTTTTCATCGTCGGATTTTTGAACATATTTTCCATTGTTAGCTTTTTTCTTACTTATGTTTTTTCGTGCTCGTTGATCTATGAAATAGTAAACTAAAATCTTTCAGTTAATGAATTCGTTATCTTAATTGGTTAAATGCATTTGGTTGGCAGAAGTGCGTATTCACCACTGATAAATTCTATCTGGTTTATGGTAAACAACAGAGGAGGAATACCAGAATAATATTCCTCAAACAGCATTTCATCCTTCCCATGTGTAGCATCAATTTCCCCCCTCCTCTGCCTGTGCTACTCTGCAATGCCGTTAATTATGCGCTTAGTTCGCACGCCCCATTCTCGGCTTTCTCTCGAATTTCCACCACTCTTCTGGAATAGGCTTTGCTTCTTTCTAAGCATTTTGATGTGGATAAGTTATCTGCTGTTAGCCAGTCCTTTTACCTACAGTCTAAGCAACCGCAGAACGACCGTACTGACTGTAAATCTTAACTCCAACTAGTCATGATATTCTCCCGTTATTAAAAGTGCATTTCAATGGCTTGATTACCAAAAGATCGAATAAAATTAAGGGTTCCCTCTAAGGTGGCTAATGCCGAATCTCCAATGCTCTTATTTCAAAACTATGCTACATTAAAAAGTCATTCCCGTAAATACCTTAAGCAAAGCTGGATATGAACATTTTGTAATTTTCACATATTAGGACTAGGATTTTCTTGAAGAATATTCACAGCCGAACATCTCTCTTTCCTAATCGCATACTCGTTGCATAGTTTGATCATTATTCAACGCACTTAAATTCCATCAGAAAAATACGCCTATTCATCCATTGCAGGATAATAAGGAAATGTGGATCGGTAGTAAAAGCAATAAACAAATTTTTTTTTGTACCAAAAAGCGCAAAAACAGTTTTGACAATCGAGTAAAAAGAAGTCACGACTCTTAGTTATTCCGCTGCTTCACGTTGGGTTGAATTGGGCATCCTGCAAGAGGAGGAGGAGGAGAAAACGGTCAAAACCTGACTAAATATAGGGGGAATAAAAATCAATATACAATGTCTTACCATTTTGAGGCAATTTCGCGAGCTTCCGTTTCTGATTCTGGGGCCATCCTTTCAAGTAAATCACTTCTAAGAACTAAAAAAACACGAAAGCAATCTTTAATGCCCCCCCCCTCTCTCTCTCTAGCAAAAGGTAGCTTGAAAGGGTGACGCAAACATACCATCTCTGGCTTTGGAAGGGCCACTTTTCACTGAAAAGTAGATCTTTGCAGAGGGGTGCAGCTTTGACTACAACATAAAAAGACATCATTAGCAAAAATATGTGAAAATTGTCTTCTAGTGATAACAGCCACATTTGGCGATCCCTGTCATCACCTATTTCAAGTATTAAAGAATCCCAACCTCTAAACACCTACTCCTAATCATCAATTTCCACACGCAGATTCGGCATGAATGAAGTTATCCGATGCCTTTCCAGGCACCTATGTACTATTCCACTATGCCAGCCACTTCGAAGATTTCTTCAACAATTGAAGCTGCTCCGGATTTATTCTTACCAATATACCACCTCTAGACAAATTAATGCTAACCAATACAGTCAGTTATTCTAATCAACGAATGAGCATGGTTTCAAGTACATACCACTTGTTCATTCATGAAGTTGAGCAAAATTAGTGCACTAACCTTGAAGAGAGTCTCTGCCTCCTTTGACAGAATGACACGCGGAGGTGCAGTAACTAGAAGAAAAAAAACAAGTACAACAATAGCAATTTTCGAGCCCTGCGACACAAATCCACACACGTAATATATACTGACTCACATAAGTAGAAAGGAAGGGTCTGATCAACCAGCCTTTCACGAATGAAGTCGTAGAGAGCAGAGACTGCAGAGATTTAACAAATGAAGATGACTATGCACATGGTGAATTTGTTTTTTTAAAATACACTAGAAACCTACCTGGTTCCAGGGGGCGGAAACAGGCCTGAAGAACCACATTGTCGGACCAAATGAAGCGAATGACACAACGAGGGAAAAATCGGAGAAGCCGGTCCTGTGCTGCTCTCTGCTGTGCAGTCTGTGCACCCAAAAGTACATCCGTTCCTCTAAAACAAGCAAATATTAGCCACGAAATAGACATTTTGACGTTGTATTGAAAGTACACCAGTTCTTAGTATCTCCATGAAAAAGAAACAGCGTAATTTTCACACTTAGCACGTCTTCAAGTGCATTATTCCCTGTCCTATCTCTCCATTGGTTCAATCTTGTGGCGAGACATCTTTTCTCATACCTCATTAATGTAGTGGACAATAAATAAATGAACAGGAGGAATACTTCTGGGACTTCCCCCCCGTCCATGGGGAAAACATGGCATACTAGGCATTATAAAGTGATATGAATTCACCCCGGGGTGAATGGAGCCCATTGAACTCTGTTAAGTTAGAATTTTAGCAATCTAATCCCTGCTCTTATAAAAAAATGCGGTTTGTAACATAGACTGTGTTACTCTCGACCAAAAAGACGTTGATCACCAGATAGAGATTCAGTCTCCCAATCAAGAGATTTGAGTATGATAGATAAGCTTTTCTACGTCAATGATTGGGCATGGTCGATGATCTGTAAAATTCTTAATTCAGGCAATAAAATGGAAAGACTTTCCATTCTCCGTAAAAGTCGAACGATGATAGTAAGTTGATACATTCCGGAAATCTCCCCTTAATCCTCAGAACTTAGCAAAAATAACCACATTTCCAAGGTATCGACCTGTCCTAGAAAGTATATAAAATAACAGGCATTTGAAACGCACGCTACTTTACGAAGCTCGGCTAACATTCTCTGAAGCTCCGCTCGTGAAAGCTCAAAGTATTGATCCGGAATTTCATCTGCAATTGGAAGAGAAAAATGAGCGCCACTGACCCGAAGGTCATATCCACATAGTATCGTCATAGTCTCAAAAAAACCAACCAGCATCATCTTGTGAAGTGGTTGTGACGGTGGAGTCTATTTCCTTCACGAAGATTTTCTCCTCTCGATCACAAGGTCTTGAGGGGACGGCCTCGTTTCCCTGGGGTCTACAAAAATATAATAGATGGAGGTGGATAACAATGGTTTATTGGGCTTATTGCCAGAGTTAGGATTTATAAGAAAAATTTGCCTACCCATCCTTCGGGTCCATTAAGTTTTGACCCTCAGTCTCTGAAGGGAACTAAAAGGAAATCAATTGTTAGCTGATTAACAGAATCATTTGAATAGTAATACAAATGTTTATGATGAAATATCTTGTGTTCACCGATGGTGCGAGGCCAACATCCCAAAGTAGCGAACATGAAATCAGTGCCCAGTAATCTAGAAACGTGGGTGGCCAACCATTGGTTATTCCGGACCAACAAGAGGTATAACGTGCGTTTCAAATGATAACCAAACCAGAATTCTGTCTCTAAGTTAAGCGTTGCTAACGCTTCCCATACACTGGGCTTTTGGAGTAGTAAGAATAATGCAAACCTTGTGATTATTCTCTTGAAGAAGCTCAATGAACAGCTTTGTGGGGGGAGGCTTCAACGAAAACTCCCCCCCCCCCATTGATTTGGGCTGCTATAACGTCTCCGCTGTTCTCCTTTGAGTCATCGGATAATAAAAACATTTTGAGAGCTTACACAAAGTCATTACTGAGGCAAATAAGTAAGGACCCCAAGGTTTGATCAACCAGCCATGTCAAACCTCACCTTAAAAAGAGTAAATCACCACCTTAAGTAAATTCAAACAAAAATTGACAAATGTACGGGAGGCTTCATGATTAAAAAAGCAATGAGTTTGTACTGCTGAGCTGAAAAAGCTAAATATAAAAAATGCGATTTCAAAGTACCAAACATCCCTACCTTTTCCCAAATTATATATTTATATCTGTTACAGAGGGTGTGCGAGAGATTTACCTCCACGTGGGGCATCCTGAGCAACGTATACTCATACGGCAAAATGTCCATAAAGCGGCAGTCCACTTCTGACCTCAAACTACCATGACCCGACTCTGTCATATTCTACCACTTCCATAGTACTCACCTTACCTTTGTCTCTGCCTTTGTCTGTCTGTCTCTCTTACACCTGTGACTCACTCTTCTATTCCCCCTCTCCGCTTTTTGTGACTTTGATGTTCCTCGCCTCTGTGAAGCCCGAAGTCAACTAAAGGGCCAATGATAAATATCATAAAGCCTGACATTTGATATAAATATACCTAAACATTCGTTCGCCCGATTTCCGTAATTTATACTATCCTAATAATTAGATATTGCTATTAATAACAGAGAATACAATCAAGCATCTTCAGGTAAATGTACCTTGAAATCTTGGAATTGTGATGGTACGGCAGGTAATGTGGTATCGGGTTCCAAGCTGATTCCAATCATCTCACCCACTGTCATAGGCTGAAATGTAGAATTAAAACATACATCTTCAGTATTTTCGAGAGCATAACAGAATTCATCGTTGGTAAAATAGAATTGTGGCAAAAAGCGCATGATAGACATTTTAATGAAGCGTTTTTTATTAACTAATAGCCAGTAAAACCACACACACAACTCGTTTGAAATACACGTATTTTCAGTAGACAGGTAAGAAATTAGATCGACTACCCCCTTATTGGGGCTTAACTAATGCGGTTCACTGATTTCCACCTTTGATTTTGTAGGCGAGTACGTTAGACGTTGCGCCATCACAATATAACACATTTTTAAGATGAGCAACTATCTTACTTAATTGAACAATACAATATCAATCATAACATCGAGTAATAAATGAATTGAGGAAAACGCTGCTGAAACAAAGTCAACTAACAAATCATCGAGCACGTTTGAAAATGCAGAAATTACAAGGCCGGTGACCATCGCTGACCAACCACCCAGATTAATTTTGTCAACAAGAGATGATAAGAAGAGAAGTTTTCATATGAAGGTAACCCCAAGATATATTTTCTCTTATCCAATTTACGTTTTGCTAACACTTCTCCAAAGCGGTTTGGAAGGTTATATATTGCGCACATAACTTACTCGAGAGGACACACTGCGCCTACTAGGTCCACTATCGGTATCGAACATGGAGCTGGTAGGAGTATTACCGAAGATGGAGAAGGGTTCAAAGTTTAAGACTGATTCGCCCTGAGAAAAATGTTGCTGCTGTTGAAAGGCCCTCTGTGAAAATGGTGGTCGTGCTTCCTCAACCGGAGTTTCCATTGAAGCTTCAGATGTTACCTCCGGAGAAGGCTTTCTCCTGGAAGTTGATTGATCATTAACTACCTTCGATTCAGTTGATTGCGGAGCATCTTAAACAAAAATACAAATCTGTGAATGCCCTGTGCCGATGTATGTAGTACATTTAGGGGTACTAGTGAGGGGGACAGGTGGGGGG